TTAAAAAATGTTTATGAATAACTTTCCCCCCCCCCCCCCTTCATTTTACATGCAACATGTAAATTAATCTGTGTCACAATCGATTAATTTTAGACTGTACATGCATTTATGCCAATGGTGGCAGGACTATTTGAGTGTTCAGACACGATTGTATGCGACAGTCATGTAGAGAGTCCTGTCTACAAAGAGATGACTAAGGTGTTTAAATAATAATCTGCACAGATAATCAGACAATAATTTGAAACATTGAACAATTCGGATTCATTGATTGATCCACATCTGCTGTATATATGTCATACTCTTGTATAATTCATTTCACCCATTTGGAAACCAGAGTGAACAGCCATTGAAAGTAAAGCTGAACTTGGTAATGGGAAAAATAAGAGGTTTGGAATTCATCAGTCCAGCCTTTTGATGAATCAGTCCAAACATATGCTCCGAGATGCATGTACTACAGATTGTTTTTCTGTGTGCATCTCATTTTACTTACGGAGTTCGACATTTGCATAGTTGTGAGTTCAATCATTTATGACGCAGCATTGCAAAAAGCTAGTTTTGTTAGTGCCAAAACTACATGTTATTATTATACACAAATTTGGCCATAACCTCAGTGTTTACATTTGGCCATATTACTTTGCATTTCTGAATACTGACATGTTGCTTACATGCTCTGTCTGATCTAAGTTTTCTAGCAGAATGTCCAAAGCATTTCCCATGAGTTTAAACAAACCAAGTGAGTTGGCGGAATTGTAAATGACATTGAAAGAGAAACCTCTGCCAATGGAGTGTTTGTTATTCCAGAGTGGATTGGCCACATATAATTTCTCATTTATGGACTGTTCTTTTTTCCCCCACATTCTTCCTCAGCCAAATGTGGCATATACTTTGGAGATTCTTAGTGGTTCAATTTATTTTTGCCTCGGTCAGTGCAATGAGCGCAAGGCTTCCCCTGCACACCTGTTTCTTCTTCAAGTTAATATCAACATCATAAAGAAATGTTGTCGTAGCTTACCTAAAATCAGCAAACCATGTTTAAAATCTGGAGCTCCCTTTGGGAATCCAGCTGGGTAGTTTATCTGTCAGTGTATTAAAGAAATATGTCATGCCTTAAAACTAATGCAACAGTTTAAAAATTGTTTGAGGGACTGGGAATACTCTCGCTGCAATAAAACACAGCATCAACCACTTTACTTCTAAGGATGGTTATATTTAGAGTCTATACGATTTATTTAAATAGATTTAATACAGTTTATGATTTGTTTGTGGTGCACCACAGAGAGGCATCAGAATGGAGTTACTCTCTTAACATCTCATGCTGCAGTGTCTTTATGTATATGCATATGTCAATATGCACATACTGCATATTGCTTTAGGGGTCTGAAGCAACCATTAAGATGAAAAAGTTCTCTTGACTTGAATGCATAACTGAAAGCATGTCACCACTCGACCTTAACCTTGATCTCACTTTTCCCTCTTCACCCTTTTCAGACTCCCATTAGGGCCCATTACAGACCAGTCTATGCCATGAGGAGTCAGAAGTCCCGTGACCGGACGTCAGCCACACCTTCCCGCCAACGCTTGCCACGTTTCAGTCTTCACTCCAGGAGAAAGAAGGAAGGTGTAATCCAGGGAAAACTGCGTATCCGTTCCATGCCAGGTGCTTTTGTGGTGCTTGGGGGGGTGGTTGTTGTTGTTGGCACCGCGCTTGCCGTGGCAGGCTACTGGCCGTACAGGGCCCATCGATCATCAGTGGACACGACAGAGGAAGGATCCTCTGGAAGTGCATCAGGATGGGGATTAGGGTCCAAAGGACTGTTTTCAGCAGCAAGTCTGGTTCATAGTGAAAGGATGAAACTACTAGGACCTGTCATTATGGGAGTGGGACTCTTCATACTTATTTGTGCCAATACGGTACTCTATGAGAATCGGGACAGGGAAACTCAAATGCTTCTGGCTCAGATGCGGAGCGTCATTTGCTCTGTT